CACACACACACACGCACACACACACACACACACACACACACACACACCCTAACTCCCGCCCCCGCAATCTCGGTCAGGTAATGGTTACTTTTCGTTGAGTGACATCAGATTGAAAGATGTTTAATGTTAGACACGCACGTTGTAGGGGTTCCGGAGTTTTGACTTGGATGTAACTACTGTATTCAGTACTAAAATGACCTATTATTTTTCCAAATTCTATGAGCAGGCTTAAAAAAAACAAAACAAAAAAACCTCCCAAAAAGTCAACAGACATTGTCACACTTACCTGAAACCTTTGATGTAACCACTGATCAACTGAGAATGTGTTCAAGGATTGGGGGAAAAAAAGACATGCACTTTTTGTTTCTGTAATTTTAAGTAGGCCCCAGCACACTAAAGGATGCATTTGACTCGTAAAAAGTAATACTTAAATCACTCGATAAAACGCCAGGTCAGGGTTTAAAACATTCATCACCACTGATCAACTGAGAATGTGTTCAAGGATTGGGGGAAAAAAAGACATGCACTTTTTGTTTCTGTAATTTTAAGTAGGCCCCAGCACACTAAAGGATGCATTTGACTGGTAAAGCGTGATACTTAAATCACTCGATAAAAAGCCAGGTCAGGGTTTAAAACATTCATCTGATTTGAATCGTCCAGTATGCTTGCCACTTTCTGTACGTCATTGGAATACCGGAAGCGGAAGTGAGTACTTATGTGTGGTACTGTTGCGTTCTAAGGCATTGTGAAATTACGCTTTTTGTCACGTGAAAAAGTACTCTTGGACGTTTTCATGTATGTGAGGTATATATCATCTTTTATCAATATGTTATATAAACGTGACGTTCAAAATAGTAAGTAATATCCGGCCATCAACGGGGTCGTCCGGCTTGGAAGCGAAAAAACTGGAGTACATGAAGGCAACATGTTTGCCTGTCTTCCGGTGGTGTGGAGGTCCCAGTAAAGCGATCATGACCGCTGTAGTAGTCCGCCGGCTTGCTGCTCTTTCTGGGGCTTCAGCGGTGGCACTTGGTGCTTACGGGGCGCATGGTAGGAATTCCCCATGATCCAGTACTGCAACTTGTTTTCTGCTGTGTTGGCATCTCATAATATTTCACTTTCTCGTTGCAGGTTTCAAACACAGCGACCCTGATGATTACCAGAGAGTGGTATGACGCGTTCTTGTATTCACAATTAAGAGTTTTGTCATTTTTATTTTTTCAGCGAGACACAATTAGTCTCACCGCTCTCTCCTGTGTATTTATGCAGCTATTTGAAACAGCCAACAAGTACCATTTCTATCACAGCCTGGCCCTGCTGGGTGCCGCCCACTCCAGCAAACCTGCTGTGGTGAGTGAGCTTTTCAAGAAACTGATAAGACGTCTATTTGAAATATGGCTCTTGGCTCTTGTGTGCAAAGTTGGTGATGAAAATTCAGGTGTACTTCGCAATGATTCAATTTGAATAAAGCGACAGCCTTCTCAGCAGGGGGTTGCAACGAATGGCGTCATCCAAAAGTTTTGTTTTTGCACAAAAAAAAAAAAAACTCAGCCAGGAGCTTATATGAAAGTGTTTAGGGGCCCCTGGACATGAATATTGCCAAAGAGGGAGCTCTCCTGACAAGCTGTCACCATCCCTTTTCATCTGTGCCATTCTAACGTTTCCTCTCTCCATCTTAACTCAGGCTGGCACTCTTCTGATTGCCGGCATGGGAATGTTCTGCGGATCGCTGTACCACCAGGCCATGACGGGGGACCCCGGTCTTCGCAAGGTGGCCCCCGTGGGAGGCATGGCGATGATCGTGGGCTGGCTGGCGCTCATCCTCTGACCTGTTGTTTGCTTGTGTGTTTATGTTGTAATAATGCCTGTATAGACTTTGCTCATCTACTTTTTGGAATAAAAATATAACTTGGTGGGAATGATTGAACTGGATGTGCTCATTTAAATTTCTAAAGGTTTGGAAGTGCTCCACAACATTTCAAGTGAGCCTTTTTACCCGCCTCCAAGGTGGTTGAGGCAAGATAAGGTGCAAGGGGAGCCATTTGCAGCCTCATATCGCATGAGCACCTCTGGATTTTGCAGTATCTTCCAGTTGCACACTAAATACTGCAACCCTTTGCCCCTCAAATGGCAGACTACTCAAAAATAGTTTGGGATATTTGGTTTTTAGGTGAAAGTTATGGAAAATGGAAAAAGTTCACGCTACAGTGATGTCATTTCATGAAAGTAGGCCATTTTCGTAGAAAGATGCACTGGTGATTTCATTTCAAACAATTCACTGAAACAAAAGTTAACAACAATGGTGGGTACACCACAACAAAACATTTCAACGTCTCAATAACTCAGCATGCGCCCTCGAGCATCAATTACAGCTTGACAATGACGTCTCATGCTGTTCACAAGTCGACTTATTGTCTGCTGAGGCATGGCAATGGCATCCCACTCTTCTTGAAGGGCAGCCCTCAGGTCATTGAGATTCTGGGGTGCAGAGTTTCCAGCCTATGGTGACTCAGCTGATCCCACAGGCTGTAGCAGTCCGTTATTGTAGTACGGGATCACGCCATGCGATAGCGTCTCTTGGATTTGTTGCGTCAGTTGGTCGTCACCATTTTTCCTTAAACTTCCGTAGTACTTTTTTTTGTCATGGACTCAGTCGGGTGTACCGATGTGCTCTTAAGTAGCTTGTGGTAAAGCTGAGTGACTTGTTATTTCTTAAAGGATAAACAATTGTTTGTGGAAGCTCAAGAAGTCTTTGCTCCTTCGGCTGCCCAACAGAACTTGACCAGGGCTGGTTTCCTCCTCGGCATGTTACATGTTACAAAATGCACATATTGTGTTCTTATTTTTCAACTGGTAAATTTTGTCATCCAAATATGTTGCTCCTTCCATCATGAAAGTTGTCCATCCTGGCATAAACTCTCTGTCTTTGTGTGTGTGTGTGTGTGTGTGTGTGTGTGTATGTATGCATGCATGCATGCATTTGTACAGTAGTGGTAGGAGCCAACCCATGCATTCGTGCACATGCACGAAGTGATCCTCGCCTCGCCCCTCGTAGCGCGGTTCTCAGTAGCAGCAGAAGCTTTGCTCGGGTGCGTGCGTGCCACCATCCTGCGCCGCTTTTAATCCGCGGATCCTCCCGGGGAGCAGGACGCCGTTTTCCGGTCAGGCGGCGCTGATCGAGGACCTGTTGGAGATGACAGCTGACCAGGGCGGACTGAAAGGCAGGCAACGAAGCACCCCACGCCCAGGAAGTTGCCGTGTGACCGGTGTGCTTCTTTCCCAGCTTTTAGGTTGCGATTTTGTTTTGCTCTTGCGTGATTGCGAGGCTTGGAGGGTTTCCAGTGCCCACTTAATGGCCCCCACCCGTGTCACCCTCACCTGTCAAGTTAGCTAGCATGCTAGGTGGCTAAGTTGGCAAATAAAACAAATGAGCAGCTCAGGATCAAGCCGAAATACAGTCTGTGATTTCTCTGATCAAACATGTCACGCATATTCCGCCTCTATTAGCGAGTCGCCAAATGAGCTGGAGTGCACTAATGCCAAGAGGGCTAATTAGCTCTGCGATTAGCTTAGCCATCTTGCTAATTTAGCAAGTTAAGAAGGTGCAAAGGCCGTGTTATGTTTGCAAGTCGAGTCTTGTTCACGTTGCACTTCGGTCTTTTTCAACTTCCATTCCATCGTGTTAGCTCACTCAAATGTTACGATGCTCACGGAGATTGATGTCATGCCACTCAATACGAACGGCAGCCTACTCAATCGTAATTATAATAATAATAATACTAGTAATAACATTAAATAATGACGGACGCTTTAATGTGCAAACGCATCACCGTTACATTTCAACATGCTAAATATCCCACAGTGCAACCTCGCGGAAATGCACCAGAGAACCAATGATTGAATTGTGCAATATTTAGCATGATTACTTTTTATTAATTTTCTGAAAAGATTTTTTTTTGTATTAGTCGGGTGATGAATAATTTGGCCTATTTTTGTGAAATGTTATGGACTAATCTCGTAGCCGAGTCAATAAATTCACATTTATGCCTTTTCTGACTGTGAATTTGAAATATTTTCCATTTTTTTAAATAAAGGGGTGGAAATAAATTTTAAAAAATCATCCAAGTCATTGATTAATTAAAAAAAAACAAATAATCGACAGACTGACTTATTAAAATAATTATTCATTTGAAGTTGCACAAGGATGATCATTTCTAACATATATATATATATAAAAATACATTTTTTTGACCCCCAGAGCCGTCTCCATGGAGTCCCTGATGAGTGCCGTGTCGCCTCGCTCCCTGGCGCCCGGCAAGAAACTCTGCGAGGTGGACTTCCGCTCGGGCGCGTCCCTGGAGCAGCTGTCCACTCAAGTGTCCGAGCTGGTCCTACTGGAGCAGGGCGGCTTCGGGGACCAAACCGCCTTGGAGGTCCACACGGCAAAAGATTTCATTTTCAACATGTTAGGTACGTCAAATCCATTTGATTATCCACGTGATGTGTCAGATAATCAATCAATCTTGAGGCTTCTAAAACAGCACCACAGAGAAGTTGGAGGAAAAAAAAAAAATCATTCTCTCTTCAGGTTTAGTCCAGAAGGTGGATCAGCGCCTCCCGGTGGCCAATGAGTACCTGCTGCTGTCCGGAGGAGCCCAAGAGGGCGTCTTGGACCTGAATCCGGAGGACTTGGGCAATTACGCCAAAGGTGCTGACTTTGACCTGGACTTCACCCTGCTGGTGCCGGCCCTAAAGCTGCACGACCACAATCAGCCCGTCACCTTGGACATGAGACACTCGCCGCCGTGCCACTCGTGGCTCAGCCTGCGTCTGTGCGACTCCAACATCCTGTCCCGCTGGAGCATCTGCTGCCAGGAGGAGAGCGGACTTCCTGTTGAGGAAGACGAGGAGGAAGAAGGAGAAATGGGTAAAAAGAAGTCCTTTGAGATGTCTTCCCAGCTGGACCATGGCTACGGTGAGGGAATTTAACATTCGCCCCTCCTTCCTTTTCCCTTTGCCGGCCCAGGGAAAGGCTCTATTCCGTCACTAGACTCCCCTCAGTCCCTCGATGGGTGCTACTTCTCCCCCACCCTGGTGACAGACTGGTTCTGGGGGGTGGTGAGCGAGGCAGTGGACGAGCTGCGCCGGAGCCCCCAGAGAGGCATTCCCACCCCGGAGCGACTGGAGAGGAACGGGCCACTCACGACCGTCATCCTTCAGGTACAGTCAGACGTTTTCGGGCGTCTGTGGAACAAAGTCCTGCTCCTTCAATTGAGTGAGTGATTTTCAAATCTTGGTCCTCCTGCAGGCGGGCTCCAGCAGGGTGCTGTACGACCTTCTGCCCGTGGTGTCGTTTCGGGGTTGGCCTGCCGTGGCTCAAGGCTGGCTGACGGCGAATCACTTCTGGGATGGGAAAATCACGGAGGAGGAGGCCATATCGGGCTTCTACCTGCTGCCCAGCTGCTCGCCACTGGGCGGGAGACCCGACAGGGAGTGGCGACTCGCCTTCTCCCGCAGCGAGGTACTTTTCTTGATTGTTCTTGCCCAACATGGCATCGAAGGATGGCTGAGTCGCGATACCTGATATCTCAAGCCGAAACTAGCCTTATTTTAAGGTATCGGGTACAGTGTTCCATCAATTTTCGTGGGTGACACAGTCCAGAACCACCCACGATAGGTGAATTTCTACGCAGTAGATTTTTTTTTTTTTTTTTTTTGCAATTTTTCAGACCCTCCCACAAATGGTTTCTACACATCTAAACATTTGTTACACCGAATAAATTTAATTTTGAAAATGCAAAATAAATAAATATCGGGACTGTAAATCCTTGTACTACTGGCAGAAGTTCTTTGTCAAGAAAAAGAATCACGGTAGTCACGGAAACTAGATTTTAGTTTCCACAACAAGGATTTATTGCATCCAAAGGCGCCTTAACCCACCAGGATTGAAAGAATGACATTTGAGGTCTTTGTATTGCTGTGAAATGTCAAAACCGGCCATAAGGGTAAAAAGGAGCCTTGTGTGTTGTAAACCAGGTCCAGTTGAAGAAATGCATCCCGTTCCCCATGGCGCAGGCTTTCCAAGCCGCCAAGGCGGTGTTGTCTCGTATCCTGGCTCGTCCCCGCACGGGCCTCAGCCTCTACCACCTGCGCACGCTTCTCTTTTGGGCTTGCGATCGACTTCCCGCCGCCTACCTGTCCTGCCCCGACTCGGACAACCCCGGCCGTCTCTTCCTGGGTCTCTTGGATGACCTGGCGCATTGCATCCTGGGTAAAAACTGCCCAAACTACTTCCTGCCGCAGTGCAACATGCTGGAGCACCTGACGGACGGCCAGGCTTTGCTCGTGGCCCGCAAACTAGCGCACGTGCGCTCCGATCCCAGCGAGCACCTGCGGGCCGCTCTGGACCAAGCCCAGCAGGCGGGCCAGCTGAAGAAGGAGCTGGCGAGCAGCGTCAACGGCTCGCCGGGGCATCACCCCGTCAACGGCATCATCTCGCCTTCCGAGGATAAGCTGGCCCAGCGTCTCCAGCAGCTGGTCACCGAGAACCCCGGAAAATCCATCTCGGTCTTCCTCAACCCGGACGACGTCACCCGGCCGCACTTCCGCATTGATGACAAATTCTACTGACGCGTTTGAAGATGGAGGAAGAAGCCGAAATATGGTCAACGGGGCTGGACGTCACCGGGCTGTTGCCGAGGAGATCGCCGACTCCTAACGAGCTCCGACGGGCGTACACTGGTGAGGGCTGGCTTTCATCAAGTGAAGGCGCGAACACGATGTCGATGTACGCCTCAGGCTCATCACATTTCACACACTCCAAAAAAGAGGCTGCAACATCCCCCCCTTGCGGATTTTTCTTGATCGTTTTTCAATGTCATGATCAGTGTGTGACGTTCACAATCAGAAAGCAAGAACGGCGTGAGGATGATGGAACTGAATGTAACATTAGGGAAGAGACCTTCCGCATCTCTTCTCGCTAACGCCCACCCATGTTTCACTTTTGGTCGTTGTTTCTCAGGTACCGAGAATCCTTACATTGCGAAATGGGAGCTCTTCCCTAGCTTCAGCGGACAACGGAATGTACCAAAGAGAAACACACACAAACACACACAGGAAGCGGCCATTGCAATCGCTGATTTCAAAAACAAAAGAGAGACAAATATTTCTCTCAAATTAGGGTCTTGACTCATCCAGTCTTAGGTTAAGACTTTCTCTTAAATGGCTTTATCTCATATGTGGTGATGAAAGGCACAAGCCGGCCAAGTTTACATGCAAAGTGACTGAATGTGTTCTTGGAGCAAAGCTGCTGTTTTCTCTACAAGTTGGATGTGTTTACTGCTGAATTGTTGAAGCTACACTCTTTTGTGTGTGTGTGTGTGTGTGTGTGTGTGTGCGCGTGCGCGTGCGCGCGCGTGCGTGCGTGCGTGCGTGCGTGTGTGTGTGCGTGTGTGTGTGTAGTGAAGCTGAAGTGACTACCAAAGTGTGCAGAATGTTGACTGCGGTGCGTTTAAAAGTAAAAAAACGCAAAAAGACTAAATAGTGCAGAATATACTCGGCACTGTTTTCTTTTGTCATCTTGCTGCTTTTTAGACTCGCGCTGCTGAAATCAAAACATTTGTTTTCAATATCTCCAGATACTTAAGTGCTAATTGTGATTGTTCTCATTTTGACTGATGACTGATTTCGCGTATTTATTATCACTTGATTCTGAGGGCTTTCAATTGTTCAGTTTGAGCTTCTAGCATTCAATAAATGACGACCTTTTGAGTCACAAGGCACCAAGTGTTATGATTGATTATGATTATTGAGCTGGCATGGTAAGAGCAAAACTGCAGCGCATATTCTAGTCAATAGAGGGCACCCCGAGACTACACAATGTCCTGTAGCGCCGGGACAGTTGGAACGCAACTTGCATTGGTAATCCAGAACAAAATTTAGGAATACATATCACAAATTGTTCAAAAGTATTTAGCCACAGTGATGACTTAAATTGGAAAGTGTTACATGCGCACAATTGTGAGCTCTTCCCGCCAGTGGTCACCCAACCTCATCACCAGATACCAATTGCACATTCATAATAGAAAAAAAAAATAACCCCTCCTCAAATGTGCCCCCAGCCATTTTAGTCGGGGATCTAATAAATCGGCATAAAGCATTTACAAGCGCATTAAGCCGCTTCCGGGTCTTTAAAGGTTCCGACGAAGACAAGCTCTGTGAAATTCGTCTGGCTTCGGAACTGATTGGGGCCAGATGGAGCTGCATACTAAAGCGTCCACGCTTAGTGCACACGTCAAGAGCGGGGGAGAAACGAAAGAGCTAACGAGAAGGAGATGAACTTGCTTTCCACCCAAATGGCACCAGAGTAGAATGGCATCAAAAGATTAGCCCTGGGAAAAAAAAAAATTAATCAAACATTTGCGCACACACCATCATTTTGTAATTTGTAAAAAGCGACAGTATTGACAGAATCAAGAATTGATACACTTTTTTTGGCCACATATACTGTATGTGCTTCAATTCACTCGATATTGTCCTGCTCCTTCTGGTGTGCCCACCTTGACCACCGGGGGGCAGTACAGGTCATTTTTCCACAAAGGATAAAGAATATCTGCCAATGAGTTGTGTTATATTGTCTGGCTACATGTGTTGCTACACCGTGCTCAAATATCTGTCCTTGAAAAGGTACCTCAGGCGGCCCATTTTCAGGTATTGATCGGGAAACGGAGCAATATTGTAAAGTTGGATTCATATCCGGTGTTCCCATTTTGGTAGTAGAGCGTCATAGAAAAAAAAAAAGTACACTGCCAGGCAAACCGGGAGCAAGCTTATCAACGGCACCACGCTAGTACGTAGGACTCGCTATAATCGACATTACAAAACTCCTTTCCTTCCTTTTTCATCTCAACCGAATTTTTTATGGCAACATTGTCTGCTAGTGTTCAGTCAGAGAACAAATACTGCCGCAGGGATGCTATTCATTAGCTTTTCTAGAGCGTTTCGCATTGTTTTTTTTAGCGGCATTGGTTGTTAGCGGTTAGCATAAAGCTACACGAATGTGAAGGCAAAACTCTGTGTGGTTGTTTTTAAACGCACAGTGTGTCATTGTCATTTTGTTTAGTTTGACATTTAAATTAACTGCAAGTATCAGAGAACAGCTTGAAGCCTTTGTTTTTTTTTGAGGAATCCTTCCCGTAACATAAGCCTGCGTATGAGACGCTCAGAACACGGCCAGGCTGAAACCGGATCGTACTCGGATGCATGTCACTGAGTACGTTACCGCATCTCAGTTTCCGACTGCATTAATGAAGAAGCTCTGGTTGTTGACGGTGTTTGTTTTTGGATGGGTTTGGTGTGGAAGAACACCACCACCAAATAGCCTAGGGATGAATGTAGTGTCGTCGATGTGATGAAGAGGCGAGCAGGCAGAGTGGCGGAGAGGGACGCATTAAACCGCCGGCAAGAAAACTGATGAGACGGAAGGAACAGATGGATGGAGAAGTCGCAGAAGCGAAAAGACATATTTGGGAACCACCAGAGATTCCTGGGAGTCAACATTTGCCAACGAGAAAAAAAATTTGGCCTGCGCGCTCTAATCTCTCTTTTTTTTACCCCCCCTCCTCGTCCCTGTTCCCACATTAATTAAATGTGCATGTAATTACTGTCGTTGAGAATCGGAGGCCAGCGGAGGAGATTGGTCACAGCCTGCCTTATCTCTGAAGTCAACGTCACTTACTTTGGCTAAACTTTTACCTCCCCCGGGGCGAAAGGCACTCCTGTGTAGAAAAGGGCGTTGGATTTAAGAGCCTGCGCACGCACCTGTTTGCTCTGGCTCCAATAGCTCTGCCGTCAGGTTGAAGGGGGTGGACAAAGGAAAGGCCGAGCGCATGAATAATTCCACAGCAGAGGTGTCACTTCTCAATAATACGCAGTCGTCAAGCTCATTTTCCTAACGAGTCTGGTTTCCTCACTGCAAATATACAGGCGATTACTTCGTTTTTGTTGTACATTGAAGACATTTGGGGTTCAGATCGAAAGATGAAAGTTAGACAAATGTTTACAAGTCCAGCTTTTGTTTCACATGTCAATGTATGAAGCAACTCAGGACTGAGCGCCTTTTGTTTGAAGCCGCCCAATTTTCAAGTGAGCAAAAGTATTGGAACATATGTTTTAAATGAAGTTAAAGTGAATTAGTATTTAATATTTGGTGGCATAACCCTTACTTGCAGTAACTGCATCAAGCGGCCGACCCATTGACTTTGCGGACCGTTGTGTGCTTCATTTGAAAATGCTTTTGCAGGCTGTGAGGAAACTTTTCAAGTCCGCTCACATCTCTATTTAGGATAGTTCAAGTCACAGATGATGTTCTATGTCTTACAATTACAATTTGGTACCGCTGCAGCTGTTGTGAAAGCGCTATATCAATCAGGATGCATGGATGTATGCTACAATAAAACAAGATCAGAACATTGAAGGTGATGAAAAAGAAATCAGGATTGGCGAGTCCGGCTTTTTAAAGATTGGGTATTGGCCCAATTATAGATAATGTGTGTGTGTGTGTGTGTGTGTGTGTGTGTGTGTGTGTGTGTGTGTGTGTGTGTGTGTGTGTGTGAATCTATCTATATATCGCTCTATCTAGCTAGCTAGTTAGCTAGCTAGCTATCAGTTTAGGTCAGTATTGCAGCCTTTATTGGCATTGAGCAAAATTAAGCAGCAAAGGAAGGGTGTGTTGTTTGACCTCAGATGACAAAATGTCAATGGACGACAAATTCAATGAATAATATAGTGACAGTTTTTGCATAATTGTTTGACATTTGCAACATGTGCGTTTTTTTTTGTTTGTTTTTTTTTTTGCATGAGTCATCAATCCCCTGTGATACATTCCCGGATTTTTTTTTTTTTTTCCGCACGCGAAGCAAGCAAAACCCGAGTGTTATTAAACCGAAGCGTCGCCCCCGTGAGCACGCGCCATAACGCAATTGCAGGGCAGCAGACAGCAGAGCTTAAGTGCACAATGCTGTTCACACATACTGTACATGTGTGCAGCCACATGTGCTGGACAAAAAAAAAAAAACTTTGTCCTCCTCCTCACTCAAGAAAGCGCATTCGGTGTTAAATATTTATTTCATGCATGCTCATGCGCTCGAGCGTGCCGAATGATGATGTTAAGCAAACAGCGACAAACCAAAACAAAGACCAAGGCCTGCTCTCGAAAATGGAATATTTTCCTCACATTCCGCTGCGGTGGACTATGGTTCGGTTATCTGCCACCTGAAGCACCTCTTTTAATTTGAGGTCAACGACTGGATCAATCACGGCCTTAAGCAATGATTACACACCAATCGCTTGTAAAGTCATTTGTCACAGCTCACGAGCTCCCCGTGGGATGAGGCATGGGAGCGCCCGAGGCTGAACGAGACAAGTTGAGACTCTGTCACGCATGCAGATGCGTCCAGTTTCATGACGACGGGCAGCTCGAGCCCGGAGAAGAATTAGTTTCATGAACATTCTCTTCTTGGCCTCACTTGACACAATCGATGTGATGACATCACGCCTTGGCGCCGTCACGGCTAACACGCTAGCGGGCCGCCAATGCGGGGCCACCGTGGGCAAGAGAAAGGCCACTTGTCCTCACCGCATGATTTGGAATGTAAAATGACAGCACACTGGTGCTGGTTGTCATCACGGCGGCATAAATCCGCACGTGTGGGAAGCGGCGGTGTGACAGCACGCCGGGCATTCAATGAGCGCCTGCGCTTATGCATCATCTTGTCCCTGACTTGTTTCAGCGCGGCGTGCTGTCCTCATCAGTTTTCGGCTAATCCCTGAGGCGGCGTCCTGGACATCCACACGGGCGTGAACGTGCATGTCGCCACGTCGGCTCTTCTTCAAATTAAAATGAAGACCAAAAAAATATGTGACGATTTAGGTAGGTTGCAATGAATTGATTGTGTTTGTGCAATCATTCGCAGCCCCCATTTTGCTCTATTGCCATGAATAATATGGCCTCGGGATGCTCTTGGTATCACATATACCGTACTCTTAAAACTGACACTGGGTGAAATAGTTATCCCAGGGCTGGGTCGAAAAGGGACCAAAGCCAATGCTGGATTATTTACAACCCATCTATTGGGTTGAGGAGTTAACCCAGGGTGTTGGGTCAAGATTTTGCTTCAAATTCAGTGCGCAGCAACATGGTGACCAAAATTCAGCCTGCCTGCTGGGTCAATATAACTAAACCAGCATTGGGTAAACGTAATCCATTCTGCTCAAATTCCACAGCTGTACTCTGAAAACAGTTGAGTCAAAAGTTATGCAATTATGGTTTTAAAATGGGACGGACCAATTTTTAGGCCAATTTGACTGACATTTCCCGGGTTGATTTGCACAAAATAACCCAGAAAATGGCGTCAAATTGACCCAAGTAACAATTTGGCCCCAAATTGGGTTATTTTTTTTTAACCCAATTGTTTTTTTTTTTTTCAACTGGACCCAACAAGTGGGTTCGGAAAACAACTCAGCATTTTGTGTGTGTGTGTGTGTGTGTGTGTGTGTGTGTGTGTGTGTGTGTGTGTGTGTGTGTGTGTGTAGAATTGCACATCATGAAAAATGGTACATGTTAAAATTCACTTCTTTTTTTTTTTCCATCCATCAATCCATCCATCCATTTTCTGATCTGCTTTATCCTCACAAGGGTCGCGGCGGGTTCTGGAGCCTATCCCAGCTGTCTGGTTGCCAGCCAATCGCAGGGCACACAGAGACAAACAACCATCCGCACTCA